GCTGTCTATAGCCGGGTACCCATTCCCACCTGGGTGAAGTGAGGAAATTCGTGTAAAGTGCCTTTCCCAAGGACACAACATCGGGCCCTTGACGGGATTCGAACCCACGACCTTACGGTTGCGATTCCGAGAGCCTAACCACTAGGCCACCACAATAATACATTTTTTACCTTACGAATCTACGGTACACTTCCTTCTCAGACTGTGAGACTTCATAATACAATTGTATATTGTAAAAATAATGTATAATACGTGCTTATAAAACATTTTTGTCATTGTTTATTGTTTCCATAGCAACGTGGGTGGGCGGTGGCTACATCAATGGGACCGCTGAGGCTGTGTACGCTTACGGACTGGTGTGGTGTCAAGCGCCCTTAGGATACAGCCTCTCGCTTGCCTTCAGTAAAATAGTTTTACAAGTATCAGCTGCTTCTGTTATGTTAATGCGGCTGTTGTTGTTGTTGTTGTTGTTGTTGTTGTTGTTGTTGTTGTTGTTGTTGTTGTTTTGCTTTTGTTTCTGTTGTGTTATTGTTGCCGTTGCTGTTGTTATGTGATTGTTGTTAATGTTGTTTTTCGTTGCCTTTTAGTTGTTGTTTTTGTTTTGGAACACGTTGTTTTATTGCTATTGTTGTTGTTGATGTAGCTTTGCTGCTCCTTCTGCTGCAAAACCAAGTCCAGTCACTCTTTTTCTTCCTTGTTGTCGCGTCTGCCATCCTCCCAGTCTGCGTTAGCAGGTGGTGTACTTGTTCTTTCGTAGTTCTTGTTGTTATCGTGGCATTTTACATCGTCGTCGTCGCTGTTATTGCTGTGTATTGCATTATGGCCTAAATTAGTTGTTTTTTTAATTTAACAATTTAAATGCAACAATTCAAAAACCAATTTGTCTAATCAGACACTGTTCTTATGTCTCAACATAATAAACTTCAAAAAGTGTGGTGCAATTAAGATTTCATTTATTTAGAAAGAAAGAAATCAAGCGAGGCAGCTCATAAAATGCACTTAAAATTGAATTTTGTTTTATGTAGTTATGTACTTTTGATGCTATCGCTTCATTTCAATTATCGGGGCTCTTGAAAATTTATTTCACGTTTTTAGATAGAAAAGAATTATATCAACCGGGCTTCAACGATGTTATTCTTTCGTCACCTATTAAAACGGTTTTAATTTTTTTTCGTGACTAGATCTTGTTACTTCAATCAAAATCAGAAGGTTCAGAAATCTGAACTTATTGCATTTTGAAATAAACTTATTAAAAAGTCTTGATCACGACTCTTTGGTACTTGCGTCTGTGGTGTAGCCATCGCGCTCAGAAGACCCTAGTTCGACTGCGGTGTGGGCAGAAAATATATCGAGTATCTTGGTCTTTCTAGATATCTAGTGGGCTAGGATGCGGTATCTTTCTCAGTCCAGATTTGCCCTGACATGCAGGATCGAAGCCCGGCTCCTAAATCATCTAAATTGCGTCCATTTATGTGTGCGTGTTGTGGGGGGGTGCGTAACATGTAAAAAAAAAAGCCAACAAAAATGTGGATTTAAAATAATATTACTCTGACGTAAGTCGCAGCGGTAGGTGTTCATTCAGAATATTCATCATGCTGATACCTCTTGATCGGTAGCCTATCACGAAGAAAACCCCCTAAAAACCCCAAACAGTCCAGGCTGATCCAACACTTCTGTAACGTCGATGGCTAGATATAATGAGCAATTCGCCAATAACGCTACCGATGTCCTGCCAAGCCCACAATTTTTCACTTTTTCTTTTTTTTTTGGTCTGTTAGATGTGATAGATAGAAAGAACAATTAATTACCAACCACTAATATTTGCCTGTCCTTTATGCAACATATTAATTCTATCCATTTTTATTAAATTTTGTCTCGACGTGGTGGAATCTGGCGCACGCCAAACTTTAGGCATCTGGGGTTATTAGTATCATCTTAAAGTTAAAGCCTGTTCATTTGCCTTGATTTGGATAAAAAAATAATAACCATCTATGTTGAATAGTAACTGAAATATTATATGTACGATTGAAGAAGATCAAGGTCGCCTTGTTTCAGAGAATAATTAGCGAGAAAATGGTAACTTCCATAACCTGAGAGTCATTCGAAACTGAAAATGTACATTTTTGGTGTGCCTTTTAAGCAATGTTTTTCCAGTAAAATCAACACAACAAACGTTTAAAAAAAACAAAAACAACCCTTAAAGATGTTGAGCCAAAAAAAAAAAAAGAAACGAAAATTAGGAGAAAAACGCCCTCTACCCCCCCCTCCCCTAAAAAACAAACAAACAACAAAAATGACGATTTCTTTGATTTCATTGTTTAACGAGAGCCTGATTTCACCCCGACGTGTGACACAATTTTTATTTTGCCCGTCAACAAAACTTTTCTCTGAGTACCTCCCCATTGTATTTCAGGCGGTTACTTTTTCGCCGAGAAGATGCGCACCTCTGGCTTCACAACGATGCTGGATCCTTTCCAGTGGAAGTACGGGGACATCATGAGCTGTCTCCTCTATCTGCCGGCACTCAGTGGTGATGTCTTCTACTCCGCCTCAATTCTCGCCGCTCTAGGTGGGGGCTTATTAATTAATAACTCTGTGGGTTTTTCTTTGTTAATGTCTTATATTTTATTTTCATTTTTGTTTCTTCTGTTGTTTTCTTGTTGCCTTGTTTATTTGTTTGTTTTCTTGTGTGTGTGTGTG